GGTCCAGCCTCTGACCTGTTACAGGTATGCCACCAAGCCTATGACCTATGTGGTAGGCATGGACAGTGACTGCTAGGTCAGAGATGTCACACAGAGGTACATCCCAGCCTGGATGACAGTGACCTGCAAGTATTGGGCTGTTGCTGAGTGATGCGGCAAGACCTTAAGACCATATCAGAGCCTATTTATAGACAGGGGAAGAAAGACTTGGAATTTCAGGCAAAATACATGGACCAGTCTTTACCCACTGCCATTGGCTTATATAAGAACCACTCACTGTATGCCTTGAAGCAGCATCCCCTAAAATATGAGGCCATCTCTCCAGAGACAGCTGCCATCCTTGGGTATTGTCGTGAAAAAGTGGGTATTGTCATGAAAAATCCCACTCCAGGGATTGTGTGCACACTCTTCACTCCAGGGACACATGGCTGAAGAAAGCAAGAGTGGTGAGGCATGGAGAAGTGTCCTACAAAATGTTGAAAGGCTATTCCAACTATGCCTGGAAAGCCCGACTTGCTGAGCACCAGCTGGAGGAACAAAATGACCTGGGCCTGTTTGGCTACTGGCAGACAGAGGAGTATCAGCCTCTCGTGGCCGTGGGCTCCCGCCCACTTGTTCAGGTGCCCAGAACAAGTCAGGGAATGTGTACCTCTTCCTGCCCACCATGATGACTGTTGGCTGTGTCCAGCTGGAGGACCTGCCCCATCTACAACATGTGGCCCGCAAGCTGGACATCAGCTGTGCCCAGGTCATCACTGGCTTTGATTTCCATGGTGGCCACTCCCATCCCATGACTGGCAGATACATCGTCTGCGCGGAATTGAAGGATGTGCTCCTGTCCGCCTGGGAAAATGAGCAGATGATCATTGAAAAGAAGCAAAAGGAGAAAAGAGAGAAGTGGGCTCTAGGGAACTGGAAGCTGCTGGCCAAAGGTCTGCTCATCAGGGAGAGGCTGAAGCGTTGCTGCGGACTCAAGAGTGAGGCACCAGCTCCCCACGCAGATGCAGGAGGTGGGCTCTCTTCTAATGAAGAGGAGGGGACTAGCTCTCAAGAAGAAGTGGCCAGGATACTGGCTCCCTCCTGGCCTCAAAACAGGGAAGATAAAGAAAAGCAGAAGCTGAAGGGTGGCCCCAAGAAGACCAAAAGGGAAAAGAAGGCAGCAGCTTCCCACGTGTTCTCATTTGAGAAGCTGTGTGCTGAGCCTCCACTACAGGGACACCCACCACTTGTTGCCACCCCGCTACAGGCCCCACACCTGCCCTGGGCATGCCCAGCCCCGGTAATGGGGGCTTCTCTGCTGAGATGGCAAACTGAGGCAGCATGCACTGAGGCGGGGCCAGGAAAGAGGAGGTGGAACTGAGGAGGTGCTGCAGGTCCAGCCTGGCCCCAGCCCGGTCCCAGCCCTTGTCAGATTCACCCAGGATGAAGCCTTCAAAGCTTTTGCTACCAAAGCCCACTCACTCTTTGGGCTATAGAAGACTTTGCTGGAAGACACTTTTCTGCCTCCTAGACCTGTTCTTCCCATCTTTGGAAATGTCAGTTTTTGTATGGAAGCCACTGGGAGATTTCTGGATGGTGGTACATCCATGAATGCACTGATCCTTTCTTCTAGTTAGAGGCTTCATCTGTCTGACAAGTTCACTTGCCTTGGTTGTGGACCTGGGACCCTTTCTCTGAAGGTCTGTTACCTTCCCCTGAACCAGGCTTACTAATGCTGCCCTCACTGACTCTGCATTAGGGGAGAAAGCAGAGGCGAAGTACAGGTCATCTTAGATTATGGAATTGCTGGGATCTAGTTTTACAAGTAACATTTTGTGGTGGCAGAAGCCTAGAAAAAGAGCTAAGGTCGTGGAATAAAAGGATAAACACCAATTGAAAATTAAGGAACTGTTAGTAAAAATAGATCAGTGTTAAACTAGATTCTATTCATTACTAGATAAATGTATAAAGCTCTCTGTACTATAGATACTCAGGAGAAATAACATTTATAACATTTTGAGAAAAAAAATAAAGTTTTTTTTTTTTTTAAAAAAGGCAAGGTACTCTTATAAAACCATCAGATTAAAGACTTACTCACTACCACAAGAACAGTATGGGAAAACTGCCCACATGATTTAATTCTCTCTCACCGAGTCCCTCCCACAACATGTTGGAATTATGGGCGCAACAATTCAAGATGAGATTTGGGTGGGGACACAGCCAAACCATATCATAGCCAGCTGAGCTCCTAGACAGAGACCGCTAAGCAATTCCTGGACCCCTGACTCCTGAAAAACTTGAGATAATAAAAGCTTATTGTTTTAAGTAATCAAGGTTGTGATCATTTGTTATGTAGCAACAGAAAGCTAATACAATATTCAACAAGAGGATGAATTGTTATATTTCAATATTGAATCAGAATATTTCATTTCATGGTATTGAAAGAATATGGGTAAATTAAAAATGTGTCCTTACATTTGTCAACAGGTACAAAGTTACAAGTAGAGAGAAGGAATAAGTTTTGGTGTTCTACTGCACATCAAGGTGACTACAATGAACACTAATGTATTGTGCATTTCAAAATAGCTATGAGAGGATTTTAATTCTCACCACAATTAAATAACAAATATTTGAAGTAATATACTAATTAGCCTAATTTGATAATTCCACAAAGTATACATGTATGAAAAGATCACGTTACCACATATGTATATATGCAATCATTTGTCACTAAAAAAAAAGAAAAACTATAAAAATGTGTCATTAAAAATTAATTCAATGTCTGACTTTTTATTTAACATGCTTTGGTGGTAAATTTTCTTAGACAATTTACCAGTACATTCAAAACTTGTATTATATTTCTAATCTCAGTAAAACTAAAATCATAATCAAAATAATAAATTGCTGCTTCTCTTAAGAAAATTTGGGCAAGTCAATAATGTGTCAATGTTTTTCTAACATGGAGAGTAAACATTCTCACCATGTAAAAAGTATATAATGCCAAGAATAGTCGTATAGAGGTCACATCAACTGATCAAAAACTGATGTCCTTAATCACCTGTAAAATGAGTTAACCACTTCTTTTAAAACAAAAAGAAACTGACTGGAATTCCACTACAGCAACATGGTCCATCTATAATTCTCTCAATTTAAACCCATTTTTGCATGACACACATGTCCTTAGAAAAGTAAATCTGGGCTCTCACCATTCCATTTTGATGAAGTAAAGCAGGGTCAGAATAACTGCCACAGGTGAGTCCATATCTAGAAAGGGATACTGTAGGCTAAACATGTCAGCATTCTGTACTTTGAGTCAAGCAGGCTTGTCCTCAGCAAACCACAGAGCAAATGAAATTAAATGAAGCCTGTGGATTCTACAGGTCCCAGGGCAAACGTTGGAGTCCTGATCCAAGACCCCCTATAAAGTTCTCAATTTTCAGCCAGGAATGCATAAATGACCTTTGCTAGCTTCAGGACTTTCATACATTTTGCTTTTCTGGCATTTAATGGAGTCTTATAGAGACTGAAGTTCCCAGCGGGCAGTGTTCCATTTTGTGTAATTCCACTCAGCACAGAAAATAATAAAGGGATATACCCTGAGACGGTTTTCTCTAGGTTCAAGTACGGTAGCACTTTCCTTGACGTTTCACACAGGACAAGGAAACAAGCCAGGGGAGGGGAGGGGGATACCTATTTTTGCATTAAGCACAAGTGTCTTTACATGTACTATATCACCTCCTTTATAAGTCACAAAGTATTTAAATATAAAGGTGATAGTTAACAGTTACTGAGTACCTACAGGGTACCTGCACTAAGTGCTTTAAGGAATTATAGTAAGTCCTCACTTAGCATCACAGGTTCCTGGAAACTGCTACTTTTAAGTGGAAAGACATATTAAAAAATGTGGTTTTGTTGTTGTTTTGCCTCAGCAACGTTATAAGGAAATGACTTTGGGTAAAACATTATTAGAGGAACCTGCTATATGCATTTAATTCTTTACACAACAGTATGAAAAAATGTTCCTGTATAACTGTGGTATGGGTAAGGAAACCAGGGCTTAAGGAGATTAGTAATTGGTGAGTTGAAGTTGAATCACATTTATTTAAATTAAAATCCACATGCTTAACCACAATGCTTTAAAGGCTTCCCTTGTATATGCTGTATGGTCAGTGAAGGGACAAAAGGAAAGACAATGGGAATATTCTATTCCCAAGGACAAACCTGTGGTATTCATCCTGGTAATAATATTTGTTTAATTGAAGTGCATATGTATGGTATATTACAAATAGCAAAGTACCTTCCAGAACGTATGCCATTTAGTTATCACAAGAGTCCTACTGGTGGTTTGGTAGAGCATATAGTAATGTCATTAAGAACCTAACTTTGGGGTCAAACAGGTTTAGGCTTAAATAGTAGCCCAGAAATTTATTAGCCCCACAACCACGAGGAAAGTAATGCCTCAGTTCCCTCATCTGTGACAGGTGCTAAGATACGCCTATCTCTCAGGGTAGATGACAGGATTATTTGTCAGTGAGCACATGTAATAAAAATGTTTGTGGTCTTGTTTTACGTATTATGAATCCTGATTCCCAGGAGTAAGAAGAGTTGGCACCCGCCAGAAGGTAAGAGGTTGGGCCAAGTTTTCTTTCTTCAGTAATTTTCCTTTATCCCTTAGGCCATCCAAAGATGTAGAATGTGGGGTTTCCAATACTCAAGTTCTCCCGTCCCCACCCGGCTCAGCTGAAGGCCCATCTTCTAAACTCCTGACTGAAGGCGATACACGAGTTCCGCTAAACTCTCTCCAGCCTTGCTTGATTGAGCAGCCCAAACTCAGCCTGGACCCCCCTTCGCCTCCCTCAAACACTGCGTCACAAGCCCCCTGCGAATGTTCACCTGGAGCCTGGTTCTGGCCAGAACCCGGTCTTGCGCACGGGGAGGACGATTTCGACCCCAATTGGCTGTTGCCCTGGGTGACCAAGAACGCGGTAGGGACGCGGGAGGCCACAGCGGGTATTTAAAGGCTGCCGCGGCCTGCGCCACACCAGTCCCGCCAGGACGGCGACAGTGAAGCACCTGGGTTGAGAGGGAGCAGCAAGGTAACCGCGCAAACCCTGCCTCCCCGGCCCCCGCCCGCGCCTCAGCCGAGCCGGGTGTGGGGGGACCCAGGAGTGTGTCTTACTGCGTGTCACCTGCCAACACCTTCCTCCCCCACCATCCTTACCCAGCCCCAGTCTCACCCAGCATACCTGGGCGAGACAACCCGGGTGCGAAGGACAAGAGATTACGACCGAAGAGCGAGCAAACCAGGAAGACAGCGGCCTCCTGGAGAGGAAAACGTGATCCCAGGGGCAGACACGTGGCGCTGCGTGAAGAGACAGGGTGACCAGACGACGCTCTTCCGACCGTCCTGTTTGGCCAAACTTGACGACAGCTTCTGGGTCGCTACCATCTAGACCTCTCAGAGCTCCCTGAACCATGACGGAGACCCTCAACATGAGAGAAGACCCTCTGAACCTGGGCGGTGGCGGGGCACCCTCGGCCTCCCTGCGCTCCTGGTCGTCCTGCCACCGAAGGCGCCGGGGCGCTCCCGTGTACAATAGATGGCACCACTATAGCCCCAAGACCGAGTATGGGCCCCCAAGGAAACAGCCAAAGCAACAGCACGGCCCGGGGTTTTGGTTCCAACCACCCGTGTGCTCTAACTGGGGGTGCTGGGGAGGGCCCTGGCGCCCACCCCCTCCGGGATTCCCGAGACCCCCCGGCCGGGTGCAAGTGATTCCTGTGTACGGCCTGCACCCGCTCTGCTTTTGCTGCTGCTCCTGCTGGAGCGGATCCTGGAACCCTGGCTGGGCGAGGCCCCCAGGCAGGAAGAAGCGCTGGGGCCGCAGGGGCCGCAGAGGCCGCGGCCCGCGCCACCACCCTCGCCGCTCCTCCTCGCGGAGCCCGCCTGCGGATCTGAGCCCGCTGCTGCGGCCGGCCAGCCCGTACGAGTGGCGAGTGCCTGGCATGCGAGCGCCGCGCAACACCACCCAGTTCATCATGGACCAGATCTACGAGGACATGAGGCAGCAGGAGGAGCTGGAGCGCCAGCAGAAGGCCATGAGGGCGCCGCAGGCGCTGGTGGGAGGCGAGGCCTCGCCGGCCGGATCCTCCGGAAACGGCGCGCCCCCTGGCGGCAGCGAGGAAAGCTGGGCGCTGCAGGAAACTTTGTATGACCTTGTGCAGAATCCCCTATCATTCAGTCCTACCCCAGAGGAAAACCAGTCTCCTGCCCCTATGCTGGTGAAGGAAGAGGAGGAGGAGGAGAAAAATGATGATGAGTATGACCAGGAGATGTGTGATGCAAAGGAGGAGAGCGAGGAGGAGGAAGGAGAGGTCGAAGATGAGGAAGAAGAGGTCGAAGATGAGGAGGAGGAAGAGGTCGAAGAGGCTGAATATGTGGAGGAGGGGGAGGAGGAGGAAGAGGAGGAGCTGGAAGAGGAAGAGGAGGGCCTGGAGGAGAACAAGCAGGGAGGGGAAGAATTTCACTTGCCTCTGGAAATGCCTTTATCAATCTTCATAGGGGCTGAAGAAACGAGAGAGAACTTTATAAACTGTACTTTTTTAAACCCAGAGCAGATAATTCCCAACGTACCACAGGAATCCCTGTTCCTGGCATAGGACTTTAACTGTTAGACATCAGAAAAGGGATTGAGGAAAAGGATGGAACTGATTTGAGGCTAAACTGGATTAGCAATTTATTAAAAACTGATTAAAAAGTGAGTTCCATTAATAAACAGATCTATGTAAACACCTTCTTTGGCCATTATAAAATGTTTAAAATTTGACGTGGTTGTGTATGACTATGGGTGGTGGTGGGGGAGCTTTCAAATATAATTTTACTGAAACTGATTAAAGGTCAAATATTTTATTACATACATTTGAATATTTTCATTTGATGCCTTCCCCTCTAGAAAATTGAGTTGTTTTTTAAATCTGGTAATGCTGAAAAAAATGCTTTGTTTTTGCAACAAATTTATACAACTTAGCCACTTACTGATCTTGGAATCAAGAGATAGTTTGTTACATGCTTAAGAAGGACATTCTAAGGCTCTTAACCAGTGCTCTTAACAAAACTGAAGCCATTTTAAATCCCTGCCTTTTTTCAACAATGTTTTTCCTAATAGATTTTTCCACCTTCAGAGTTCATTTTTGAGGGTCATATTTTCTTAATCCCATTTGCAGTCTCTTGTGGCATCGCTCATTTATATTCCTTGTTCCACAGTGCTATGGATCTTCCTCAGAAGAACAAGAAGTTGCTTCTGTGGAACTGGTTATCTGCCATGGCCTCAACAATCCATAATCCATTCATGGAGAGGATTCCCCATGGTCAGAAGTCAACTTGCACATCTAGTTAAAATCCAAGGTAACTGCAAACAATGGAACATAGCTTAGGTTTTGAAGCCTGGTTATTGGATATAGTCTTTGTCATAAGTTCTGAGCAGCCATAAAGATAGTTTTGCAGAATGGATTTTTTAAAAGAAAAACATTATTGACTTTTTGGGGATGGATTATCTTATTTTGTTTTTCAACTTGTCTTCCTTATAAAGGAGTAAAACAAAGACGTGTAAGTGTGAGTCTGTGTGAGCTGGTTTCTGATATCTAAATAGCAATTACCTATGGAGAATACATCATTCAAAGTAACGGCTTTTGTTCAAACATTTTTAGGAAGTAATAATATGTTTCTTCCTGGACAGTTAATAAAAGTTCCATCCATAGCATATTTCCAGGATATCCTTAAATGATGAATTTGAATCTGCTATCTCAGAAATTACATCATTTGACTTTGAACCACAACTTAGCATTTATTTGTTGAAGAGAAGAATGTGTGGTGATGTCTTACCTGAGTGTTGATTGTTACTGATATATTGCAGTTTTCAAGGTGATAAGCTTAAGCTATTAAATAATTTTAAAAAGTATTGAATGAAAGTAACTTGCCTCTCATTTCTCATTATTTAAATATCACAAATCTATGCAGCAATGCTTCAGTGGCCAAAAGGATGAATAGAAGAGAGGTGGAAAAAATGTAATAATTTTAAAATTACACCAAACATTCCAAATTGCAGTGGTGAATAACCAAAACTCTAAGAAATAATTACTTTCTACAAGATGGAATTTCTTAATGACCTCTAAAACTAAAATTAGCCATCTCTGTGTTTTACTGTTCTAATAGGTGTATGTAGAGGGAAATCAAGAATCCACCTCCTAAAGCTAAATAGTAAATCCTTGCAAGTCACAGCCCATAAATACGAAAAGTCAAACTTAAGTGTGTTCTTACTGGAGAAGCCTTTTTTCATTTTAGATTAGATGTCTTCACAATCCCATCCAGATATTTCTCTATTTCTTCCTCCAAAATATTTTACTTTTAAGGATTCACTACATATTAATTGTCTCCATATGCACAAGGTGTTATTCACTCATTACTTCAAGAGATGTAAACATGGGCAATGCCTCAGTAGTCTACATTCTTGCTCATGAACCATTGTTCAACAAATATTGAACTACTGGAGGCCAAGCACTGTGAACGGTGATAAGAATACTATAGTGAATAAGCAAAAACACTCTCTGACATTGTTATTGTTTAGCAGAAAAGTCAGACATTAAATGAGTTAGATGGATGGCTCATTGCAAGTGTTCTGAGGGAAAGGTACCACTAAAGAAACATAGAGCACTGGAATGCCCATGAGTAAGGCTGAGGATGTTTATTGTGGGCAGAGAGACCCGTAAGTCTAAAGGCCAAAAGCTGGGAGGAGCTTGGTGCCTTTGAGGAACTGAGTGTCTGGACAGACCAGAGAGACTGGAAGCAACAGCCAATGAAAGTGAGAGAAGTGTGCAGAACCCATATCACCTATTCACTTTTATGCCATCCATATCTTCTGAAATAGATACCAGCAAAAATTAATGTGAGGAGAAAACTATTAGTCATCAATTATTCCCTATCTGAACTTTTTTTTTAATTAGCCAGATATTTTGATGCTTGCTTTAATAATCCTGATGGCTAATGTGGAATAATTAAGCCATGTTAGGGGTTGAAGGGATTGCTCATCCCAGAACACCCACCATCCTAACTACCCACTATCATGTAACGCGGGGGATCCTAGGGTTTCCTGCTCAGCATGATTGGAGCACCATAGTTCTCAACTCCCAGGGAGAGCCTCTTGCACCATGTATTCAGTAAAACTTGATGATCCCATAGCCTTTACAGTGTTAGTATGGCTCTCAATAACCCAGTCTTTACTTTTAGAGGTACGTGTACACTTGAAAAGAAAAGACAATTTTCCAAAATAAGCTCGTTATTATTAAAATCATTTCACCACAATCCCAGCACTTCGTGAGGCCGAGGCGGGTGGATCACGAGGTTATATGGAGACCAGCCTGGCCAACATGGTGAAACCCTGTCTCTACCAAAAATACAAGAATTAGCTGGGCATGGCGGTGTATACCTGTAATCCCCGCTACTCAGGAGGCTGAGGCAGGAGAATAGCTTGAACCGGGGAGTCGGAGGTTGCAGTGAGCTGAGATCGCGCCACTGTACTCCAGCCTGGCAACAGAGCGAGACTCTGTCTCAAAAAAAAAATCATTTCAAACTTTATTGGTTGAACATAGTGAGGATGAGGAAAGAGCTGCACTCTTTCCCAAGATAATATTCCCTGTCCTTTATCACCCCTCTGCCCCTGCCCTTGCCCCAGGTCCATGATGTGTCCTTTTATGGTTGACATAACCAATAAAGTCATTTCTTTGAAGAATGGAGCTATTTTGTCAATTGTCAGAAAAATAACATTATAAATCATAAACATGATTAGAGGTCCTAAACTTGATAAGTATCTTTGCTGTCTATTTTGAGGTTTTTGTTTTGTTTTTTTGTTTTGTTTTCTCAAGTAGAGATTCTGGCATTTTCATCTTCTAGAGACTGACAGCATTTCTTGATTTGTCTTCATTACTTTGTCTACACAGTAACTTAGAGGAATTTTATTTTATGTGAAAAGATTAGCCCTCTACAGATGATAAATACACTTGACATCTAGAGATCAACTTTGAACTCTGAGCATAATTTTATAAAATTTTAGCACATCCATATATGAGGAAGATAGTATTTCTAACATCTTTAATTCCAGTAAAATAAATGGAAAAGGCGAAATGACCAATCTCCTGCCAGTTAACACCGAACCTACAGATCTAGAAAATAACTGATACTTCTCCTATAAGTGACCATGGGTTTTAAGGGAATCGATAAGACTAAAAAAATTTTTTTTTAATTTTATTTTGTTTTTAGCAGGATAACAGAATGATACATGCAGCCATGTTTTGTATTCAATCAGGTTTATGTTAATGTAAAACAATGGAAAATTACTCAATGCTGTCAAATCACTTTGGCCTTTGATATTAAAATCAAAACCAGAATGTGGCTGTCTTGGCTGTTTCAGTACTAGTGTTTTTCTTTATTTAGTTTTAGTAAATTAGTGGAATAGAGTCCAATATCAAGGTCGGCTGATGGAAGAGAAGGAAAGGGTTAGGATGTGGTGTGGGGAGGCCTGGATGTGTGTTGTTCTGCTGCCTAAGTGCCCTGTGCTGGTAGCCATTTGACTTGGGTTTCTGTTTCCTCAATGTTAGTGATTATACTTGATTACTTCAGCATATTGTGAAGATAAAATACCCAATATCTAAGCAGAATTGTATTTTAACTGCAAAACACTGTTGACCCTTACCCATTAAACTACATTTTATAAAGTTATCTCACATAAATTCTGAACATTAGATCAGTCTAAATTTATTAGCAAGTCCCAGAAAATCTCATAGCAATTCTATTGGGCTGACATATCAGATATTTCAGTTGTTATTAATACCACAGGACTAAGTATGAACCAACTTGTCCTTGAAATGTAGTTTTGGCTTCTGGCAAAACAGTATGTAAATGGACGCTTCACACCGTCTACTGCCTTGACATTTGAAGTATGGCCCATGAACCAGCAGCACTGACACCACCTGAGAGCTTATTAGAAATGTTGAAGAAAGCCCAGGCTTCCCCAGACTTGCTAAATTAGAATATGCTTTCTAACAAAGTCTCTAAGTGATAGGCGTGTATGTTAAAGACACAGAGCCTCTGTGGTTTAGGTGTTAGACCCACCGCAGAAGGCTCATGGGAATCTAATGATTAAATATATGGTTTATGCATTAAAAACTATCATATTCTGCTTGTATGACCTCAGGATTGTTACTGAAATTTTGACATCTCATCTATAGTACCTACCTCACGAATGAAATGAGATTATAAAGACTAAGTGAGATAATAGTTACCAAGCACTCTGAACAATGGCAATCAATACTTTTTAGTTATAATAAGTATTCAGTAAATACACAAATGAGGCAATAGACATATTACGTGGTGTCTAGAAATTTCTTGTTAGTGATGGAGCAACTATAAAAGTAAAATCTCTCAAAATAACAAAATGATTCATTAAGTCTGTCCTATTTCCGCTAGTATAACTATAATCAGATACTTTACCTTTGAGCTGCAGACACCATTATGCAGCCTAGCTAAGAACCAGTTAAATCTCTAGAGCTGCACTCTTTCCCAAGATAATATTCTCTGTCCTTTATCGCCCCTCTGCCCCTGCCCTTGCCCCAGGTCCATGATGTATCCTTTTATGGTTGAATTAATGCTGTAATGGTTGGTGTTAAGAATTACTCATCCTTTTCCATAGAAGCAATGGATAGCTGAATGTATCTTTTCAAAATCAAAATGAAAGCAACTGTAATACTTGAAAAAAAAATCTGTTTGTAGTGGC